GAGTTGAGAAAGCCATGATCAGCAGTCGTGAGACAGGAAACCCCAGGGCCTGGAATGAGGAACTGTGCACCTCATCACCTGCAGGGCCTCAGTTTCCTCTTCTGTAAAATGGGAGCTGCAGGTCTCATCCTATAGGGTTGTTGTTGATGATGAAATGGGATGGAAGGACTTCCCTGGTGGTCCAGTGGTTAAGAATTCTCCTGCCGATGCAGGGGACGCAGGTTCGACCCTCAATCTGGGAAGTTTCCACACGCCCCAGGGCATGTGGACTAAGCCTGTGTGTCACAAATCCAGAACCCACACATTGTGTAGCCCGTGCTCCACAATGAGGGAAGCCACTGCAATGAGAAGCCCGCCCATCGCGAGGAAGAGTAGCCCCCGCTCACCCCAACTAGAGAAAGCCCACGTGCAGGGACGAAGACCCAGAGCAGCCAGAAACAAACAGAGCAGTGTGTACATGTGAAAACAAACAAATAAAATCAAAATGAGAGCCAGGATGGCAAAGGGGAAATTCACTCATCTGTGAAACAGATGTCTACCGAGGGCTCGTCACGCAGGGTGCGGAGGGGTGAACGCGTACATAGCCTCCCCTCTTGGGGTTTACAGACGGGGCCTTCCTGGAGCAGAGGCGTGGACAGCAGCGGCTGCCGATACCATGGCCAGTCATCCCTGCTGAGTGTGGGCCGAGGGGGCTGCTAGGACCTCTGTTATTGCTTTGAAAAAATCTGCTATCGTGCTGATAAACTCGGCTGTCAGGAGGGATGTTATTTCTGGGTGAAGGGAGGTTCTGTGGGACTGGGGCTCCTTCCTGCCGGCACCCACGTGGGTCTTGTCCCTCCCACCAGACCCGACTTGAGCGATAACCTGAGGCCTTGAGCCTGCTTCTGGCAGGGGACACTGGTGACCAGCGCGGCAGGATGTCCACAGTGGGCTGCCCGGGGCCTCTGCAGTGTTTCAGAAGCAGATATCGCCCCCCTCCCTGACCCTGGATTCCTGGAATTGTCTGACAGAGTGGAGGTCTGTTCTCCGTCCCTCTGACAGGTTGCAGGAGATTAGGTTATTTTGGTCACGCCGGTCATTCAGTGTTTGGCTGGAGCTTGTGTCTATTAAATTGTCCTGGCTCTGAGCAGAGTGGCCTGACTGGTTAAGCCTCGTAATCTGCTCTGAAGCGTGCTGGCTCTGTTTCGAACTGTGATGGTCCCCTTGTCATCAGCACCACTGGCCTCTCCTCAGGTTCCACCATGGGCTCAGCTTGCCAAGTACTCCCTGGCAGCCAGGAATCCGGATCTTGAGTAAATCCTCACTCTTGGCTGTCTCAGGTNTGAAAACAATTCCAAAGTCTTTGCCCGGAGTGCCTGGAAGGCCAGAGTGGCCGGCGGCTGAGATGGGAATTCTGGGCGAGATGTCAGCTGGTGGGGTGCCAGTTTCTTCTGGCTGCGCGGGGCTGAAGCGCCCCCAGATCGGCGGGGAGATGGAGGAGCTTCTTTGCCGTCCAGTGGTCACTGGCTTATGCTCTCCACTCCATTTCCTGGGGGGCGGTCTTAGCCCTCTGTTTTCAGGCCCCGGTGTCCCCACTCCCTGTGGTGCTCTGGCCCTAGGCAAGCCAGCGCTGTGGCCTCCCTCCAAGGCCAGAGTCTCTCTTGCGTCAGGGGCCCCCCGTGCCCCCCACACCAGCTCCTCATGCTCAGAGACCCCAGTTGAGCAGAGCGGGCTGAGACTGCAAGGGGCCCAGGAGTTCAGCTCCGGGGAGTCTGGGCCTGACTGGCTCATTTCCAGGGGTTCACAACACATGGGAGATTCTAGGGGGCCACAGAGGGCAGAAATCCATCTGCATGTGTCTTCGGGGCTGTGAGGACGCTCCTGCCAAAGCTCTGGGGAGAGTTGAGGGAAGTGGCGGCTGGGGTCACTCCCTCCTCTGGGTTTCCCAGATGTCATTCAGGCTGCCAAGAACCAGCCTTGACCTTCAAAAATAAGCTCACTGCCGCTGACTCTTGTCCCCAGAGGCCTCTCGCCAGGACCTGGAGAAGTATCTGGTTCCAGGCGAGCACCCAGGGCTCTCCACCCACCTCCAACTTCCTTTCCATCTCCACTGGCTCCCGGCCGGAGACCCACCACACGGTGGGGCCCCAGCCCTGGGTCTTGATCTCGGTCAGCCCTGCAGTCCCTGGGAGTTCTCAGAGTGCCCTCAGCTGTCACACAGCCTGGACCCCAGACGCCAGAGCCTGGGGTCCTCCTGCTACACAGGTCACACAGCCTGGTCCTTGCAGACTCAGCCTACACCAGCCTGGCAGCAAGTTCAGGTGGGGCTGGCCTGAGCCCAGGCTCTGACCCCCAAGGCCCAGGGTGAACCGCCCATGCACAAGTTCAACTCTCCCATCTTGGACCACCATCACCAGACTCAAGAGAGACCAGTCCCCATGGGTTCCTCATGAACACCCCCACCTTCCCCCACAGCTCCAGGGACGACCATATAAGTGCACACCCACCCCTCACATGGGGTCTTAGTGCAGGACTGTATTTCCTTCCAGAATATTCTGTACGGATTTTCTTTAAATGTTGGTCTATACTAGATACACTGATTTGTAAAGCGTGTTTCATTAAAGAGATGATGTATCTCCAAGATAACAGTTTCTTTGTGAACATGTTAAACTCTTCATCAGTTTTTTTTTTTTTTTTAATTTGGCCACACCATGCAGCTTGTGGGATCCTTGTTCCTGACCGGGGATTGAACCCACACCCTCGGCAGTGAAAGCATGGAGTCCTAACCATCAGACCATCAGGGGATTCTCTCAAACTCTTCAGCAGTTCTTAAACCCCGTCTTCAATAACATCCTCTGGGTTTATCCATCACCTACTATGTATCGGGCATCATGCTGAGAGCTTCCTGTGCGTTCAGCCTCACAGCAGCTCTGGGAGGTGGGAACTTCACAGAGGATGGGCTCAGAAAGGCCCATTGCTACCTGAGGCCACACAAGTTATAGTAGGCAGAGTCAGGATTCTAACTCACGGCTGTATGACCCGGAGTCCCAGCCCTCACCGACCAGGCTGCAGGCTCCTTACTCAGAAAATGCTCTTACCCCAATTTCCATCTTGTTTCACTTTGAGGGACTCATTGGAAGGGACCCTGATGCTGGGAAAGATTGAGGACAGGATGAGAAGGGTATGACGGAGGATGAGATGGTTGGATGGCATCACTGACTCAATGGACATGAGTTTGAGCAAATTCTGGGAGATGGTAAAGGACAGGGAAGCCTGGCGTGATGCAGTCCATGGGATCACAAAGAGTCAGACATGACTGAGTGACTGAATACAGACTCAGCAACAAACTCAACAACAACAGACTTCCCAAAGCTTAGCTACAGACCCCCGGGTCAGACGCATCAGAGAGACCTGGGTTCAAGCTCCAGCCCTCCAGTCTCTTGGCTGTGTGGCCGTGGACCCCTCAGGACCCCGCTTTGAGGCTCAGTTTCTCCATCTGTGCAATGGGGCGATCCACCCTGCAGGGGGCCATCCAGGCAAGACACCCAGCCCACCAGGCTCTCATTGGCCTCTTGTCCTGGGAAGCTGCCCCCACAAAGCATCTACCAGGTGGGCGCGAGTGGAACAACACTGTGAGGAGCTGGTTGCTCTAGCTCCTGGCAAGGAGCTCAGGCCCCGCTCAGGCAAGAACCTTGAAACCCTTTGACAGGTCCCTCCCGGTATTACAGAGCCCCTGTCAAAGCTGGAGGATTTTCCCAACAAGGTTCCCAGTCAGTTCAGTTCAGTTGCTCAGCTGTGTCCAACTGTTTGCGACCCCATGGACTGCAGCATGCCAGGCTTCCCTGTCCATCACCAACTCCTGGAGCTTGCTGAAACTCATGTCCATCAAGTCAGTGATGCCATCCAACCATCTCATCCTCTGTCGTCCCCTTCTCCTTCTGCCCTCAATCTTTCCCAGCATCAGGGTCTTTTCCAGTGAGTCAGTTCTTCGCATCAGGTGGCCAAAGTATTGGAGTTTCAGCTTCAACATCACTCCTTCCAACGAATATTCAGAGTTGATTTCCTTTATGACTGACTGGTCTGATCTCCTTGCAGTCCAAGGGACTCTCAAGAGGTTCCCCAGGCTGGGACAAAAGTCTGGGATGGCACATGGAGAGACAGCCATTTACAACCTACTTTGGGGACATCTCCAATGGTCCAATGGTTAAGACTCCAGGCTTCCGATGCAGAAGGTATGGGTTTGATCCCTGATGGGGGAATTAAGATCCCACATGTCTCGTGGCAGGGTATAAAATAAAAGTAAAGAAAAGTAAAATTAAATAAAACCTGCTCTGACCCCTGGGTCCCCCGGGTGGGCCCTGGATGCAGAGGCCAGCGCTTGGCAAACTTGCTTGGTCAACCTTCTCCCTGGGGTTCCCAGCTGCCCTCTCCTCCTGTCCCGGGCCTTGGACATGGGAATGTCCTTGCATCTTTCAAGTCTTTTCAGGAAGACTGCATCCTAACTGAGGCTTCCCTTGACATCCTGGCTAAAGGACCCACCCCTCCCCCATTCTCCTTGCACTCCCTGGCTTTTCTCCTGACTTGCATGCTTGCTGTGTGCCCAGCTGCCCAGAGCTCTATTTTCTGGTCAGCTGGTTTCTCCTCCAGTGTGTCCCACACTTGGCAGTGAGCCCTGTATCACTGCCGTGAACGAGTCATCTCTAGATCTCCATCACCCACACTCCAGCCAGGCATACGGTAGGTGTCAACCAATATTTCCTAAATGAATGATCAAAGCAAATCACAGTAAGAACAAAACTCAACCCTAAGTTGGCACAGAGGGTCTGCTGGCCCATGGACCCCTAAACTGCAGAGAGATGTGGTCATGGCCCCAGCAGGAGGGGCTTACCTGGGGCTGGGGGCATCCAGAGACTCTTTGGGAGGGAGGCTCCCAGGCGACGAAGGGACTCCTTGGGGGTTAGGTTGCTCTCTGATAGCAGGATCCATAGTCCACTGGCCCTGGGACAGGCCAGCAAATCTCCATGAGGAAAGGGAAGCTGAGGCCTGGGAGGTTTGAGGCCAGCTCTGGTGGGTGGAAAGGACACTGCAGCAGGAGTAGGGAGACCCAGGCTTGACTCTGCCTCTGTTGTTCATGGGCTGGTTGGTCTCTGACAAGTGGTTGGCTTTCTTTTGCAGAGCCTCAGTTTCCTGATCTGTAAGATGGGGCCACAACGTTTCTCTTGCCTGTACTGATACACAGACTGTTCATATGCACTGGCATCTATAACATGGGACAGTGGTAAGGACTGCAGGCAACAATAGAAAATGCTAAGCACTAGGACTGAGGGATCTGAATGGATCATGGCAGCTACTATTGTTACTGTTATTGCTATTATTATGTGCTGTCCTTTTTTGGACTGACAGGAAGCCAAGGCCTTCTACAGGCCCAATTTCTATTCAAACAGCTTTTGCTTCCTCCTGTCCATTTAATCTGCATATTACTTGGGAACCTCGCAAGGCAAATATTTTCACCCACCCCTTCCTTGGGCACTTCTATCCTCTATCTATCCCCAATCTGTCCTTATTCCTCCATCTGTTCTGCTAATGTTTGTTGTTGTTCAGTCATTAAGTTGTGTCTGACTCTTTGTGACCCCATGGACTGCAACACATCAGGCTCCTCTGTTCTCCCCTATCTCCCAGAATTTGCTCAAACTCATGTCGATGATGCCACCCAACCATCTCATCCTCTGTCATCCCCTTCTCTTCCTACTTTCAATCTTTCCCAGCATCAGGGACTTCTCCAATGAGTCATTCTTTCCATGAGGTAGCCAAAGTATTGGAGCTTCAGCTTCAGCATCAGTCCTTCCAATGAATATTCAGGATTGATTTCCTTTAGGATTGACTGGTTTGATCTCCTTGCAGTCCAAGGGACTCAAGAGTATTCTCCAGCACCACAATTCCAAAGCATCAGCTTTTCAGCCCTCAGCCTTCTTTATGTTGGAGAGAGCCTCCAACTCTCACATCTGTACATGGCCACTGGAACAACCATAGCTTTGACTAGACTGACCTTTGTCGGCAAAGTGATGTCTCTGCTTTTTAATACACTGTCTAAATTTGTCACAGCTTTCCTTCCAAGGAGCAAGCAAAGCATCTTTAATTTCAAGCCACTGCCCCCAGTGATTTTGCAGCCCAAGAAAAGAAAATCTGTCACTGCTTCCACTTTTCCCCCTTCTATTTGCTATTAAGTGATGGAACCAAATGCCATAATCTTAATTTTCTTAATGTTGAGTTTCAAGCCAGGTTTTTTACTCTCCTCTTTTACCTTCATCAAAAGGCTCTTCAGTTCCTCTTCACTCTCTGCCATTAAAGTGGTGGTGGTGGTGGTTTGGTCACTAAGTTGTGTCTGACCCTTGTGACCCAGGCTTGCAACCCTTGTAGCCCACCAGGCTCCTCTGTCCATGGGATTCTCCAGGCAAGAAGGCTGGAGTGGGTTGCCTTTTCCTTCTCCAGCCATTTATCTAAGGTCGTTGATATTTCTCCTGGCAATCTTGATTCCAGCTTGTGATTCATCCAGCCTAGCATTTCATATGATGTACTCTGCATATAAGTTAAACAAGCAGGATGACAATATACAACCTTTTCATACCCCTTTCCCAATTTGGAACCAGTCTGTTGTTCCATATCTGGTTCTAACTGTTGCTTCTTGACTCACATACAGGTTTCTCAGGAAATAGGTAAGGTGGTCTGGTAATCCCATCTCTTTAAGAATTTTCCAGTTTGTTGTGATCCACACAGTCAAATGCTTTAGTGTAGTCAATGAAGCAGAAGATGTTTTTCTGGAATTCCCTTGCTTTCTCCAAGATCCAGTGACTATTAGCAATTTGATCTCTGGTTCCTCTGCCTTTTAAACCCAGCTTGTACATCTGGAAGTTCTCGGTTCACATATTGCTAAAGCCTAACTTGAAGGATTTTGAGCATAACATTGCTAATATGTGAAATAAGTGCAGTTGTATGGTAGTTTGAACAATCTTTGGCATTGCCCTTCTTTAGGACTGAAATGAAAACTGACATTTCCAGTCCTGTGGCCACTGCTGAGTTTTCCAAATTTGCAGACATACTGAGTGCAGCACACCTACTATGTGCCTGACACCATGTCTTCAGCTTTGAGACCCCTCTGGAAACATTCTTACACACATCAATGAGATCATGCCTTTGCTTTGCCCCCTCTCATTTTAAAAAATATTTACTTTTATTTATTTGGCTGCGCCAGGTCTTAGTTGCAACAAGTGGGATCTAGTTTCTTGACCAGAGACGAAACCCAGGCCCCCAGCATTGGGAGCGTGGAGCCTTAGCCACTGGACCACCAGGGAAGTCTTTGCTTCCTCTCTCTGTGTCTGTTTTCTCACCTGCAGAGTGCATTTAGAGAGAAGCCCCTATTTTGGAAGGCTCCTACCTCCGTCTGTAAAGCTGCTGCTGCTGCTAAGTCACTTCAGTTGTGTCCAACTCTGTGCGACCCCATAGGGGCAGCCCACCAGGCTCCCCCGTCCCTGGGATTCTCTAGGCAAGAACACTGGAGTGGGTTGCCATTTCCTGTAAAGCAGCCCAGGGCAATGCAGGCTTTGTAAGGTTTGGAGTTCACCTGAGTTGAGAGACCCTAACAGAAAGGATTACAAAATCAGAAGAGGCCAGGAGAGAGGGAAGGAGGGGTCTTGAAGCCGAAACTCTGCTGGGAGTTCACTAAACCTTTGATGATTACCTCCTCTGACCCTCCCTCTAACCCTATACGGTGGAGGTGGGAGGGGGCATGCTGTCATCCCATTTTACAGATGAGAACAATGAAGGAAAAAAATATTCATGACATCACTCCAGAGGTGATAAGGAGGGGTGGGGGGACTCCCGGTAGGTAGCAAATAGCAGAACTCAGGGGAGAGGAGCTCCCCAGCACCTGCTCTTTCGCTCTCAGAAGAGGCAGCAGGACGGAGGCACACAAGACTGTTGTGTTCCTGGGACAACAGCTACTTTGTAATCCCAGTGGTCTGCCCTGCCCTCCTCCACCTCCACACACCCTAGCTTAATATCGGGCAGGGAACTCAAGACCCTACTGTTCCCTAACCCACCCCAGGGCTGGGGACCACCCCTCCTGGAATTTTTCTGGTGTCTCCTCTCACCCAGGAGGTTTCCAGGGCCCTTCTCTGCCACCCATTTCCCCCCAGACCCAGGAGCCCAGAGCAGCAGGGACTGTCCTCACCATGGCAATAGGAACACAGGTGAGGTGGATGGTACAGCTGGAAGGATACGGGGTGGAAGGAAGGGGGGCAGGAAGACCCCTGGCTTTGGTAGGATGCTGCTGAGGCTGTTTCTACAAAGCTGGAGTCTGACTTTTCACATCTGTGAAAAAGACTTAAAAATGCCTAAAGCCTGGACTTCCCTGGTGGTCCAGTGGTTAAGAATCTGCCTGCTGGGATTTCCCTGATGGTCCAGTGGCTAAGACTCTGAGATCCCAGCACATGGAGCCTGGGGTTCGATCCCTGGTCAGGGAACTAAGATCCTACATGCTGCAACTCCGGGAGCTGGTGATGGACAGGAAGGCCTGGCGTGCTGCAGTCCATGGGGTTGCAAAGAGTCGGACAAAACTGAGCGGCTAACTGAACTAATGCCGCAACTAAGACTCGGCACAGTGAAAGAAAGAAAGAGAGAGAGAGAAAGAAAGGAGGGGACACAAGTTCAATCCCTGGTCAGAGAAGATTCCACATGTCTCAGAGGAACTAAGCCCCTGGAGCACAACTGCTGAGCCCACTTTCCCAGAGCCCTTGCTCCACAAGGGAAGCCACTGCAGTGAGAAGCGCAGACAACTAGAAAGAGTCTGCAGGGAGTAACACGAAGGCGCAGTGCAGCCATGAATAAATCAATTGTAAAAAAAAAAGCCTAGTGCCTGATGGTTGCAGGGCCTGGGGGAGGAAGGAGGAGCTATTGTTTAGCAGGTGTGAGGCCTGTTTTCAAACATGGGAAGTTATGGAGATGGATGGTAGTGATGGTTGTCCAGCACTATGGATGTGTCTTGCCTTTTCATACTGCTCATGGGGTTCTCAAAGCAAGGATACTAAAGTGGTTTGCCATTCCCTTCTCCAGCGGACCACGTTTTGTCAGAACTCTTCACCAGGACCCTTGAAGAGCTGACTCATTGGAAAAGACTCTGATGCTGGGAAAGATTGAGAGCAGGAGGCGAAGGGGCAACAGAGGATGAGATGGTTGGATGGCATCACCGACTCAGTGGACATGAGTCTGAGCAAACTCCAAGAGATGGTGGAGGACACGGAAGCCTGGCGTGCTGTAGTCCATGGGGTCGCAAAGAGTCGGACATGACTTTAGGGACTGAACAACAACATGAATACCACTACACAGTACACTTCCAAATGGTAAAGATGGTACATTCTGTTATGTGCCTTTTCACGCAATTAAAAAAAAAAAAATTGAAGAAAAAAAAACAAACCCAAACAAAACTTAACTCCTGAAGCTGCCAGCACAGAGAGCTGGGATATTTGAGCACTGAAGTCACGCTGTCATTTAGCAGGTCATTAAGTTCTCTTTCATGCATGTGCATGGAAAAAAAAAAGCATCAAGAAGCCCTAAGGACTTTTTGAGGCAATCCATGTCAAGACCCTGGATCACCCACCCAAATGCAGTCAGCGGGACTCATCAGGACAGTTCTGCGGAGCGAACCACAAACTTGCAGAGCGCAGGAGGCAGAGAGATAGTAAAGAGTAAAAAGATCACCCCCTAGCCGCTCTGTTGCCTTTTGGACCCCGCTAGGTCCTGGAGTCGGGCGGGGAGGCGGCCCTGGGGGCGGGCCGGGGCGGGGCCGGCGGTTGACACCCTGGCGCACGCGGGCCCCTCGCCGCAGACAATACGCCTCCCGGCTCGAGCGCTGCGGACGCCGCCACCGTCACCACCCGCCGCCACTGCCACCGCCGGACGCGAGGTGAGCCCTCCAGCCCCTGCTGTGACCCTCGCTCCGCTGCCGGCCGCCCCTCCGCCCAGCCCGAGCCCGGCAGGTGAGCGCCCCGGGGCTGCCCTGGGCGCCCGCTGAAAGGTCAAGAGGCCAGTGGCCCCAGGTTTTCCTGTCCCGGCTGGATTACTTACTTGCGGGCGACGTCTGGGGACCCGGCTCCGAAACACCCACCTCGCTGGCCGGGGTGGGGAGGCTCCAGTTCCCCGGTGGGCGATCTTGGCACCCGCTGCCCCTGGGGGCCTCAGTCTCTGCATCTGTGCAATGGGACGGCCCGTCTGCGCCGCGCGCGGGGGACCCGGCGCCCCATCGCCCTTCTCCTCCCTCCGAGGCCGGACTCCCAGGTCCTCTGGGCATCGGACCCGAGCGCAGGGCTGCCAGCCCGGGGCCGCGACGGCGCGGCCAGCAAAAAAAGAAAAAGGATGGGGGTGGGGTGGGGGAAGATGGCGTCGGACACCGGTCCCCGCCGGCCCCGGGGTGGCGGGCGCCGCGCCCCGGCCAGGGGGCCTGAGCCCGGCCGGACGCGGGACGCGGGGAAGTCCGGAACAGGAACTGCGCGCCGGGCGGGCGCGGCGCCCTCTGCCTGCCCACGCCCGGGGCAGGTGCGCCTCGCGGGGAAGGCGCCCAGGCCGCTGGTGCAAAGCAGGGACCGCCGGGCGCGCCCCATCCGGGGACCGCGAGGCGTCCCACCGCCAGCCCCGCGCGGCCAGAACCAGCCCTGAGGGGCTCCGGGCTCCCCACCTCCTGGGTGTGAGTCGTTTTGTAAACCGTTAATTGTTACTATAGTTTTCGCCAGGACGTTGTTGTTCTTGCCGCTGCTGCTATTGTAGCATTTTCCGAGCACCTATGCCGCTGGGTTTCCTTCCTAAACTAAGCTGCAGCTCTCCGGGAAGGGAGGGTTATGGCTTTATCCTTACCACGTTAGGGACGGCTCTGTGCTGGCCGGCCTCCAAGGATGGGAGGCCTCCTTGTACGGATGGAGAAACTGATCCTGAGTTCAGGAGGCGTTATAAATGCGGTCTAGCCAAAAAGCCCAGAGCTGTTTCCTAGAAGCCAAGCCAAGCTCTCCACTCAGCCACTTTCTGGTTGTGTTGTCTTCGCTGGGTTCTGGAACCCTGAGCCTCAGTTGCTCGTTCTGTAAAATGGGTCCATGAGGTTTCCCACCAGGGCTGGAGGAACACCACCCCCGAGTGTTGGTGGCCGTTAGTGACTTCTCCGGAGTTAGCTCTTTAACTCTATTTCTACTTGTTCTGGGCTTGCCCTTGCAATGAGTCCTTAGGAGGAGCGGCACATTTGGGGCGATTGGCACCTGGAGCCTCAGTGGCCAGGGTCCCGGTCTTCGCACTGGGCTGGCGGTGCTGCTCTTCCCCACGGTCTCATCTCCCCTCCCTCCTGAGTCCAGCGTTTGGGGATTTCCCACCGTCTTAACCTCGAGGTCACTGTGGCTTCTCCAGCCTTACCAGCGTTGGATTGTACAAGTTTACTTTTGCTTGTGTTTGGTTTGGGAGGAGTGGGGTCTGGGAAGAGTGGCTTCTGGGGGACAGTGCCTTGGAATGTCCTTCGGGGCAGGAAACATTTTTAATCTACCCTCTAAAATGGCTTCCAGGTGATTTTTTTTTTTTTTTTGATGGGAATTTTATCAGCAGGAATATTTCTCTAAGCACCAGAGATTCTGTGCAGCCTTCCATGGGAGCGGGTGAGGCCTAAAATAAGTGGAGTGATATACTGTAGCACCGCCCCTGTGGATGTCAGACTCACTATCTCAATTGCTTCCACCTCAGAGAAGCCTTCTGTGAATACCTGATCTAGAGCTGCAGCCCTCCCCTGTTCCCGGGGGTTCCTCTCCCCTAAAGCCTTTTTTTTTTTTTTTAGGATAAGTAAGAAGTGGATTTATTTAGAGAGATAGATACATATACCATAGACAGAATAGAGTCTGTCTCAGCAAGAACGGCCTTGGGAGAAATATGCTCTACTGACAGTGTGGGCTGGCCTAGGATTTTACTTTATTGTTTTCAGGGCTCTCAAGACAGTGTGGAAATTACACGTGCTCACTTAGTATGATTTACACGAGCCTGTAGCTCCATTGGAACAGGAATTTATTTTTTTTCTTTTTCTTTTTGGCCATGCCGCACAGCTTGTGGGATCTTAGTTCCCTGACCAGGGATCGAACCTGAGTCCCTTGGCACTGGAAGCGCAGAGTCTTAACCACTGGACCACCAGGGAAGTCAAAGAACAGGAATTGACAAAGATCACACTAGAGTATCCCCCGTGCCCATCACAACCTGGGCGCTCTGGGAAGAAGCTGGTTAGAGCTTCTAAACATAGCTGGTTGTATGTATCAATATGTTTATTGTAAGTTTTATCAGGTGCTCAGTAGATATAGAAACTGGGCTTCCAGGTGGCTCAGACGGTAAAGAATCTGCCTGCAATGCGGGAGACCTGAGTTCCTTCCCTGAATTGGGAAGATCCCCTGGAGCAGGGCATGGCAACCCCCTCCAGTCTTCTTGCCTGGAGAATCCCCATGGACAGGGGAGCCTGGCGGGCTGCAGTCCGTGGGGTCACAGAGTCAGACACGACTGAGCGACTAAGCACAAAGGACAGATGCAGAAACTGAGCTGCAAAGAAAGGAGAGACCAGTGTCGGTCCATCTTCTCACGTCCGATCGTCTCGGAAATGGACGGGGGTCCTCAGTGAACGGCCCCATCCACCAGTGAGTCTTGACCCTGACCTCCGAGGTGTTTCCCCCTCTCCCTGGAAAGCATCCTGTTTTTAGTGATCCCATTAAGTTTGTAGACAATTAATGGCTTCTGGCTTCCCCTCCCGTGGCCGTAGTGGATCCCACGAGAGTCAGGCTGTTTTTCTCTTGGCCCAGAACAATTCTTCGGTGTTTCAAGGAAGTTCCCGGCACGCTTGGGTTTTGTTGTCGGCGGCCACCAGGAAGCCTGCGGCGGGTCTGAGTGGACGTGTGCGGCCAGCGCTTTGTCCTGCCGTGGGTTGGTTGGGGCCGGGCCCTGGGCGAAATACAGAATGTAAGCAAATAAGTCCCCAGCCCGAGTCCCTCGCTGGCCTGGAGGCGGGCAGGAGAGGCCGGGCCTGGTGGTCAGGGCCCTGGGGCGGGCTTGGGGAGGGCAGCTGATTTCCCTAGTGTCAATATTGGGATGTGACAACACAAAACACCCTCTGGGCCTTGCCAGGCGCTGCCTGGTAAACCTGTTTTTCTGGAGGTGGGAGAAGACACGGGGTCACCCAGAGTCTGAGAGGAGAGGCAAGCTCGGGGCTGGAGCTGGCAGCCCACCTGGCTCTCTGGGCAGAGGCACTGGGTCTGGCGTGGAACTCAGCGAAGGCTCAGAGGCCGGCCGGGGAGATGGGCGGATTTCCCATTTGCAGACAATGACGCATCCGGGAAATCCCAGCGGTGAACCGGGTGGGCGTGCACCTCTGCTGAGCTCCAAGTTCACGGACCAAGAGCCTCCCATTAGTGAGCACTGACCATATACCAGCGGTCCCCAATCCTTTTGGCGCCAGCGATCGGTTTCCATGGACTTGGGGGGAGGGGACGGTTTGGGGATGATTCAAGCATGCTACACTGATCATGCTTTCTTTCTGCTGTTATCACATTGTGATATAGAATGAAGTAATTATATAGCTCACCGTCATGCAGAGTCAGTGGGAGCCCCGAGCTTGTTTTCCTGAGCTCAGGGGGTCATGCGGGCATCGGGGAGCAGCTGTAGGTGCAGATGAGGCTTTGCTCGTTCACCTGCCGCTCACCTCCTGCTGTGCGGCCGAACTGCTAACAGGCCGCACACCTATCCGGGTTTGCGGCCCAGGGGTTGGGGAACCCCTGCTGTAACCATGGATGCAACCTCTGCCTCCTCTCAAAAGCTGAGCGTGTCCAGTCCAGTGTCCCCTGGCCAGGAGTTGACTGTCCCGTGGGCCCAGTCCCTTCATTCTGTTGGACCTTGTGTTATCTGGTTCCCTTGGGCTGTCCTCGTTCACTAGTTCCTGCTCTGAGCCAGGGCAGACAGACAGGTAAACATTTAATGAGACTGTCATGGGCTGTGTGCCTAATCCAGGTCTGTTTACACAAGGTGCTGGGTTAGGAGCAATTAATTCTGTCCTGGGAGGAGGTGAGTTCTGGGCCTGGAGGAAGATGCAAGTCCCTGATGCCAACCTGGGGAGGTAGCGGGAGGTGTAAAGGTGGGCTTGAGGGTGTGAAAAGAGAGGAGTAGGCAGCCCAGGATCTGTCCCAGGAAAGGGGAGCCCCCAAGGCTGCCGACAGGAGGGGTCTGTGTCCAGATCTGGTAAGTGGTTGAGACCCCGCAGCACTGGGGAGACCCAAAACTGTCTGGAAGGAAGGAGACCGTGAGGGCCACGGCTCTCTGAGCCCCTAGTGTCTGGCCCCAGGAGCACATAGTTCTTCATGTAAATTCTTGTGACCTTTAATTGAAGTATAGTTGATTTACAGTATTGTGTTAGTTTCAGGTATACATCAAAGTGATTCGGATATATACATATACATATATATATGTGTGTGTATATATATATAAAATCCTTTCTATTAGGTTATTATAGGACATTGAATGTAGTTTCTCATGCTATATAGTAAGTCCTTATTTGTTTTATATATGGTAGTGTAGATCTGTTAATCTGACACTCCTGATTTATACTCCCTCTTTCCCCACTGGTAAACATAAATTTTCTGTGCCTGTTCTGTAAATAAGTTTGTTTATACTGTTTTAGATTTCACATCTAAGAGATATCATTTGTCTTTCTCTGTTTGAGAATGGTAATCTCTAGATTCATACATGTTGCTGCAAATGGCAATCGTTCATTCTTTTTGAAAAAAAAAGTGAAAGTTGGTTGCTCAGTTGTGTCTGACTCTTTGCGATTCCATGGGCTATAGTCCACCAGGCTCCTCTGTCCATGGAATCCTCCAGTTAAGAATACTGGAGTGGGTTGCCAATTCATTCTCC